AGATAAGCTAGAGATTAGTGGTGACTTTCAATTTATTCCAACTTCACTGAACTGTTAATAAATAGAGAAATATTCTTAAACAGCCACACCTGAATCATTAAGTTCCCCCAAATCGACATTTCTACCAAAACCTATGATGAAGTGGGAGACAAAGCCACATTGTGGTTGAAAATACAGGCTTTCGCTCAAATCCCGGATTCTCAACCTTCTACCCAAGTCTCCTTGCAACAGTTTTTCACCTCTCTAACGCTTACTTTTCTCAACTCTAAAATGTGGATAATAATAGTGTCTATATCTTAGGATCGTTTTGAGCATTAAATGAGATAGTAAGCATTAAAAATTTTAAAGCCATTACTAAGTGTTTAATAAATGCTATCCATTATAACAGTATGGTAATAATAACCAATGTCCTTTTCAAGAAACTCAGGCTTAACTGGTAAAAATAGGTATTAAATTGTTTGGTTTAACCCGAGACTGTAAAGATGTTGGCCATTCTACTTGCCGCAAGGCCAGCTTGTTTCCATTCCTCTTCTGTCCAGCTGCATCCTCGGTTAGCCAGGTCAGTGAAGGTCTAACCCGCACTTCAGATAAAGCCAATCAGAACACCCGGCAGCGGACTGTTAGGACTGGGCTACCGCCGACTCCCCGTGCCCTGGACGCCAAGTATGCCGAGATAAAGAAGAAGACTACTTGTGCAAGTCAAAGTCCAGGAATATGAGCCAGGGCTCCACCCAGTCTTCATAATAAGAGCATTTTGAAATGAAATCAGGAGGGAACGTGTCACCTTCTACAAGAGCTTGCCCAGAAGACAAAAGAAAAAGACAAGTCACGCTCTTCTGAAACTGTCCACCTGGCTATCTTTATGTTAATATTGACTTGGAATGTAACCCAAGTCACAGAAAAGCAAAGGAATGAGCTTACTAATTCTGCAGCTGAACCTTTAGAGCATTCAGGGTCTAATTAAGTTGATGGGTTTCATCCTCCTGTCACCGCTGTTGAAAGAATCAAAAGAAACAGCTCTACAGCCTCATATTCCCAGGATAGTATCAGCAGGGCTGGGGTGAGGGGAGAATAAAAGCAAGTGAGACCGGATCTACTGCGCCAAGCGTTCACTCCTCTCTTCTCTCTCCCTGAGCCCCC